AGTTCGGATTGGTATGCACCTTCTATCAAGACAGGTATAAACATAATTAAGAAGACAATATGATGCACTCTCGGTTGATCTGCCCGGGCAGAAACCATTCCGGTAGGGACTAGTGATTCTGAATTTTGTTACATAGTTGGACATTCGGTTGTAGATGGATTTCTCCACCACTTTACTACAAATCAGTGGAACTATTATTGATTTATAATTTTTAATTAAATACCTGTCACCATTCATAAAAAAAGGTACAAGCTTGTTTGAGATTGGACCTAGTCTTTGGTTTTAGTATCCCGAAGGGTTGAAAACCAAAACCAAAATCATGTGATATGTGACATGAAATATTTCATTCACTTAGGTTGGCTAACCTTGGTCATTCAAATCGAGGAAATAGGGACGTCTTGCTACTGCAAGTGAATTGATGTTTTCTCTTGCCGACAAAACGATGTCATCTTGCAACTGCAAGGCTTGCATGCAATGGTCTTACTGACCGTAAAGCGGTTTTTAAAGATCATTAGATATATCGTTGACTACCATACCCACCATAATACTTTTATTTAGGGCTTAGGTATATTAATAGCTGGGTTTTAGATTTTCCAAATAAGCAATGCACTGTCTTTGAGATCCTTCTTCTACCCTGGGTTTTCTGATAAATTATCTTGGAAAAATCAGATAAATGAGCTGATACTCGTTTTGTGATTATTATCAATTCCGTGGATTTGTGCACTTCTATGTATGTAATCTTATCCAACCAGATAATTTTTAAAATACGTCTGTACACCCACATTTAAGAGACTTCTGTAGACGTTATATTCTGATTTTTATTTCAATATCTGTATCCCAATTTTCGTTTATATTACTGCCAAGATAATATAAGGTCATTAACTCTCTTCCGCGTTATACTATTGACAACTATGCATCTCTCTTAGTATAAGCAACATTATTTGTATACGAGAGTAGAGTTAAGACCACACGTCCCTTTTTTTCGTTTTTTTAAACTACCTGCTTTCAAATGCATTTTTGTGCATTTTATTGTGGATTTTTTCTTCGATCGTAACAAATATTAGTACAGCTCTGAAATTGATGGTGAATATTCCACTTTTATCGATAAATCGAACAAGCGATAACGTTTATTCCTATCACTTTTTCTCTTCGAAAAATCTTTGTTTTGCTTGAAAACTCAACTTGCTGCGAGACGGTGCATCAAAAAAATCAAAGATTTTTCGAAAAGGAAAGGTAATAAGAACAAAAGTAGTCACTTGTTTCATTCCTCTACAAAAGATATATATTCACACACAGGTTCCGATTGAAGAAAAATGCAAAGTAAAATGCACATAAAACGCATTTTTTGACAAAAAAAATGAAAACATTGTTTTTGGTTTATAGACACACACCATGAAATTATCAGATGAAAAGGATTCATAATACTGCTGCAAACAAGTAGTTGAAAGAAATCTAAAAAATGGACGTGCTACCTTAAAAGAATGGAATTATAGTCTAGAGATTGACCAGATCTAAATTCATGTATTGTTCTATTATCAAACCAAAATTGATTGCTTGCACTAATTCGCATAATTACGTAGTTTGTCTAATCTGTTTGTTGACTTTTTTGGTTCTCAGTTGTCAAGCTTCCTGTTATCGTAACATGCTTTGTTTTTGTTTTCAGTTATCGAGCAAATTATTACGTTATTGAATTCCAGATAATTTTTTTGATGTCGGATGTTAAAAATTATCTAATCAGATTGCCATGTGGCAGTACCGTATTCAGACGTCATGTTTTCACCATAGGTGTCTTCGCTTTATACAATATTATCACTCCCTACCTCTAATTTTGGGTTTAAAGCTTCGGAATTATCAGCATCGGTACTCTTTTTGTGCGAAATATTTGATACCGATGGTAAGATTCATGTTACAACGTACCAAAAATTAATTTATTAAGAGACAGACATTTTCAGAAATGATAATCTATGATGAAACTCCATCGTTGCGCAATTCATTACAGATAAATATGAAGATAATAATTGACATATGTTTGTATGTACTTGAAAATCTGAAATAAGAGTAATAAAAAATATTCCATGAGTGTCAGACTAACCCTATATTCAGTGATATAAAAAAGACTTGCGTGACAGAGCATAAAATCGATATTAAATTAGTTTTAGCATTAGCACATATTTATTGGAAAAGGCCAGTATATGTAGGCAAAAGCGTGTAGCGGTACTTTTAGGTACAGTGAAACCTGGTTAAGTGGGCCCTGAATATGTAAAAAGCCTCTGTCTGCTATTAACAATTACAATAAAGTCCCGACCCTTTGCATTTCAATCGCCATTACTGGGACTTTTCAAGCCTCAGTAAGTGAGATTTAATTTCTTAGAAGTTTTCGGTGTTTATTTTGTAGCTCAATAGTCCGTATATGTGAGATATTTTATGAGGCTTCATCTTGTTATGACAAGATGGTTTAAAAACAAACATCGGTCTGTCTTAACGGGATCTTTTGTAGATAAGAAAACTCATTTCAAATTTACATATTTTAGAAACTGGGGGGATGAAAAGCTTCTATAAGTGATCAGTGATTCTAGGTTCTCCTGAGATATCAGTTATACAGACTGCACAATAATTTCCTTCAACAAAAATGGCGTCAAGTAGGTTGACTCTGCACTTCTCACGCAACGCCGTCATAAGTTTATAAAGGATTAAGTTCAGCTCACGTTATTACTTCTGAGAAAAAATAGTTGCGAACATGTATAACAGAGGAATTAAACAGATCAAGTCAGTCAAAATGCAAAAATAAAATACTTATAGAGCCTTATATCAATATTGCATTAACAATAAATAATTTACCGTTGACCTGTTCCTCGAAAGGTGATTGAGAAATTGTCCCTTGGATAAGGACGTGTTTTAAATTGAACTGTTCATAGACTGCAAGAATTTGTACAATGTATTTAACCAAGACATAGCTTTTCTGTAATATTAGATTACCATCAAGAATCCGCAACTAATTGATTGCTAGAATGTGACATCCTAAAAGGATGTCTTCCCTGCGAAATTTCCTGGAAGCTTTCAAAGGGGAGTGGTTGCCTGACAAAGCTCTTCATCGATTTTCCCATATAATGAATGAAAGCAAGCACTCCTTATTTTAAGATGAGTCATGGTAAGCCAAAAAAATCGTAAGCATTAAAAAGTGCTTAAAACCCTAAGGAAGGAACATGGTAGCAAGCGTTACGATTCTTAGTTCTTCAGAGATAAAATGTTTTACTTAGGTTTCGTTTAAACTACCTAATATAGGGATAATAATGCTTTCGGTAGACATAACAGAAAAAAAGTAGAACGGAGTGTTTTGTCAAGCCCCAGCTTGATGATAAAAAAGCAACTAATGATAAACACTATAATCGCGTACTTCTTTGTCAAATAAATAACTATTACATGACACAGTTAAGAGTCTCAAAATTTCCACCAAAACTTAATAAAATGCAATAAACAGAGTGAATCGAATAACAATGGCAATATTTCCAGGGCAGAAAGTAGGTCTAGAAATTACACAACAAATTTACCGTATACAGTATAAACATGGGTCTTGATTGACAAAAAATGTTATACTTCCAGTACTTACATTATAAGCAAGAAGAAATAAAAATATTTTCTACGATATCAACCCTTCCAAAGGATCTCTTGCATTTTAAATTGTACGTAGTATGTATGTATACAGCCGTACTTGAAGAATATTTACGTATGGTCGTTTAAAATGAAACATTTTATATAACCTATCATATATATAGAGAGAGAAAATGATCATGCGGAGAAAGGTATATAACAAAAAATAGGAAAATAATGGGCAAAATCTGCAAAAAGGAGGAAAGTGGAATCGAGCGGAAAATAGGATAGGTAACCCGAGCGATACGTATTTCTGCTGACTGGCTTCATCAGTCCCGAAATGAATGCACATATGCAACTACAAAAGTAGATACACATGCGCATACATCCGGATATTACGGGTGTAACCTTAGGAAAGGAAGATGGAGAGGGAAATAAATCACACACGTGTATATATATATATATATATATCCATTTCTTATATTTATAATTGATTCGCAAAGTAATTTTGATTTCGCGATATTTGTAATATATGTACTCGTATGTGTGCGTAACTTAGATTTGTATTGTTTCCACTTAATCTGTATCACATCTGTGATTAAATAGGACTAATAAATTATTATTATCATTATATTTATAGGAACTTTTCTGCACTAGAAATATCGTCGTTGCTTTCTGAATCACCGTGTATAATTGTTATCGTACAATATAAACAATAATGTTGCGATATATTAAAATATAAGAAGACGTAGGAAAGCTTATCAAATCACAATGTGCTAATCAGTCAACTGTTTACATCCAAAAGTACAACGCGTTTTTGTGACGTAAAAGCACAAGCACGCTTTTGTGATGTTGTTACAAAAGGATATTAATTTTTATTTTGTTATCAAGTTACAGTGAAACATAATGACATAATATATTATTACAATGAGTCTGACGAGGACGCTTAGCAAATTTAAGAGCGGAATCAGCATCCACAATATGAAAAAGCTCATATAAACATGTATTGAGAAATGCTGTTCAAACTTTTCCGTCTTTGATAGAACTCTTACAACTCTTTCTCAGCAAATGAAACACACAAACACACCGAAGTAACATGATTTTTCGTAATGCACATATATGTAAGGTTCAAAAAATGCAATATCTATTTTCGAAACTGTAGATGCTTTCGAGAGTGCAGCAAGGATTAGTTCGTCGCGCTCGAGAGTGTGTTTGTGTAGCTATTATTTCCGTTTATTAGTTTTTGTTGATATCATCATTTGTTATTGTTAAAAACCATAGCAACGCAACACAGATATTATCAAAAGCAGCTTGATTACTATGTTATAAAAATGTTTTATCATCATGGTATCAATAATTGGAACTTTTAAAGCAAATATCTCGAAAACTACTAGCTTTAGTCACTCCTGACAAGTAAACCTTTTCTGTTGCGGAAAAACGAGAAAATAAGATTTTTTGGTCAGTTGTTGTATACAGGGTAGCACAAAAAAGTTATGATAAGTTATTTACCGAAATAATGCTAGAAGTTTGGCCATACAAATTAACGGATTCTTGTTTCTCATACAAGAAAACCTCCCTATGCCGAGTTTTATGCCAAAATCTGAAATACATCTCAAGCAATGAGGAAAAATAGAAAATAAATTGTATTTTTTACACCCTGTATCTCGCAAACTATCGACTTTTGGACTAAGGTATATGTTTAAGTCACTTCACATATTTTGGTCTGTAGTATCTCCAATTTTGAGATTTCCCAACCTTTCACAAACACCCTGTATATTTCAGTTATTGAAGTATCATCCACTTTTACGTTCTGTCGTGCCTAGGTTTTCCGAAATTTCTTTTGAAAGCTGTCTACAGCTGTCTACTTGAAATAAGTATTTTCAAAGCTATCAAATAGCCTTTGTTTGGGGCTGTGATTTGAGGCTATGTTTTGGGGGTGATTTTCATTCAAAGGTCTGATGTTTAAGGGCTATTAAGGGTTATTTTTTCTGTACTACAAAATGCTACCATACCTTAACCGCGCCTTAGTGCTATTTCGCCCGACATTCTACGCCCCAATCAGAGCATTCTCCAGTGAAAAGGAGTCCTCACTATCAGAAGGGTCATCTTTCGAAACAGAGCCCTACAAACTGCATATTTTGGAGGAGGGCCCCTCCACGTCAGCGACAGTGAATAAGGAGGATGCATTGAAGTTTTATACTCAAATGTCGTCTATACGGAGGATGGAAAATGGAGCTGCGACATTGTATAAAGCAAAGATCATTAGAGGATTTTGTCATCTGTATGCTGGACAAGAAGCTGTATGCGTAGGTAAAGTAGATTTAATTAGTAGTCCAAGATCTCAGAACTGCCGGACATTACTTAATTTATGAAACACAAAACGTGGGGATTGGATAGCGTTTATACCTGTATTTACTTTCAATGCTTGCTATGTTATGTAGAGTGCCGATTTACTGGTACCAAGTAAGAAAGCTTGAGTTAAAATGAGAATAACTTTACTGAAATTCTGATGGATGATTTTTATGTATAATTTGTAAAACATGATTCAGCACTGCCAGACACTTTCCGTCGACAAGGTTTTCGCTACAAATTGACCCACTCTAACTTATTTGTACGACAAAATAGCGTCAAGTAGGTTGACTCTGCTTTTACTACTCAACGCTGTCATTAGTTAATAAATTACTATATTTGGCACAAGTTAGCCTACCTAAGAAAAAAGTTAGCAACGAACATGTGTAACAAAAAAATTAAGCAGTTCAAATTAAATGACCATTCAAGTTATAAGGGTAAATGTACTGTGGCATTTATGATGAGTGAAATATGTCTGAAAGGTTTACCCCGGCTGTAGGCGTACAGTATGCCACTGCCAATAAAATGAGATATACTTTCCCCCACCCCGCTGCAACCCGTACCCTCAATTTTTCACCGCTTAAAGTTTTCTCAAAAGAGATCAGGATCCTCTAAGAGGTAAGAAACGAAGTTTAAGCGGTTTTTATTTTTTTACTTTTTGCCACTAGATCGATTTCAAAAAACTATAAAGTTTTTTGACCTTGGCATAGTAGTAACCTTGTATGAAAATGTCTCCATTATCCGACAGATACTTTCCAAGTTATAGACGGGTCAAGGATTAGCGGACAAAGAGACAGACAGACCGACGGAAATAAGTGACGGATTTTCGTGATGTACATGCCATATGACGTAGAAAGTGAAAGAGGTGCATGTAAAAATTATAGATTCTAATATAAAAGTTATCATGCTAATTAATTTTATTAAAATGTTGGTGTTTCCCGTTGCAATATGTCGCCAAGTTAGGGTTAATTAGAAGATAATCACGAAATCCAGTGGCGTCTCGGCGGCAGTCTCACAGAGAATATTTACTAAAAAAGTTTACGACACTGACTATATTTGAAAATATATTTTTTTCAGGTCAAGCAACTAATAATATTATTTTTATATATATATATATATTTATATTATATATATTTTATATATATTTTTATTTTTTTATTATTATTAGTATCTTCGTACCTTCTCTTATCTTAGTTCGATTTGAAGGCAAAAAATAGAAACAACTTCCTTGCATGCCGAAAAATTGTTAAGATACCGTTCCAATTTAAAAAAAACTCATAAGTGAATGTTGTGGATCGATCAAATTAAATACAAACATCATCAAAAGTGTTGGACCCCCTGGCGTACTGGGAAACTATAGTCTTCTAATTTCAATCTTTGATATATTTTAAATTGGGGATATTTTTACTATATTTATTTAACAAAACGTTAAATTAATTTCATTAATATGAAAAGAAAAAGAAAGTTGAACAAGTAAGGTACCAAAAATTTTATTTTTAAAAATCAAAATTAAAGAAAAATAATTATTCTAAAGAAAAATAAAAATTAATAACCAGTTCGGTGTCCTCTAGATCTTAGCAGTGCGTTAACACGCCTTGGCATTCCTATTAAACGGGGGTTAATGTTTTCTTGTGGTAAATTATTCCACTCTTCATTTACTGCTGCAGCCTGCTCATTTAGGGTTGTAGGTGGATCTATTCTGTTCCGTACAGCTCGAGCTATAGTGTCCCAAATGTTTTCAATGGGGTTCATGTCTGGGCTGTTCGCAGGCCACGGCAATCTCACTATTTGGCCCCTTTCTAGAGCCCGCTGGACCCTTCTCGCTCTATGTGGCCTTGCATTATCATCCATAAAGATGAAGTTGTTACCGAATTCATTTCGCAAAGATTGAATAATGGGTTGTATGACATTTTCTTCATAAATTTCTGCAGTCATTGTCCCCTGGATCTGAATTAAAGGGCTCCGGTGGTTAAACATGATGCCTCCCCAAAACATTATTCACTCGCCCTGATATGGGACAACTTCTAGGGCCAAATTTAGTCGCTGTTGATGTCCTGGTTCTCTCCAAACCCTTATTCTACGGTCATCACTCACCAGTCCAAACGTAACCTCATCTGTAAATACCACATTTCGCCACTGTGGTAAAAGCCACTCCTGATGTTCTCTAGCCCACTGGAGACGAGCAGCAATTTGTCTACGAGTAAGACGTGGAACCCTTAAAGGTCTTCTAGGGCGCAAATTTGGCATTCGCAATCTTCTTCTGATGGTAGAAGTGGAAATAACTCTTCGAAAAGTATGTTGAATATGCGATCTGATAGCTGTACTTGTTGAAAATCTATTCCTTCGGGCAAATAGAGCAATGTAACGATTCTCCCTATCATCTGTTACCCGAGGACGCCCACTGCGTGGCCGATTTTCAACTGAGCCAGTTTCTTGGCATCTTTGAATTGTTCGAATAACCGAACTTCTTGGGATACCCAAATCCAGTGCTATTCGGTGATTTGAAAATCCAGCTTGAAAGAGTGCTACTATTCGTGTTCTATCAAAACCAGAAATTTCAGCTCGCGGCATTTTAAACGTTACAGTATAAAATTTTATTTTAATAGTTTTTGCTCAAACACTACCGTTAGACTTATTTCTATAAAAATCCAAACACATTGTTATATCAACGGTTTTTTGCGTTTTTTTTTGCTTGCTAAATATATAAAGATTTTTTGTTCACAAACAGATTGTAAATAACGTACCTCTAGACGTCCAACACTTTTGATGATGTGTGTAATTAATTGCATCTATTTAAAAAATGTTTTGACGTGTAATGAAGCTTTTATTTTCTCCCTCTAAAACGGATCAAGATAAGAGATGCCAGAGAAGATAAAAATGCTTGTATCAGTAGCTGCTTAATCCGAAAAGAGCATATATTTTTTTTAAAGTCAGTGGCGACGATATTTGTGCAAGCTGCGCTGCTGCCTGGAGAACATACACATGAAGAATTTGTTACCTGCTCAGCTGAGAAGAAGTTGTCATCGACGCTCCGGCGAAGCGTTGTGTATTCAAGGGAAGAAATAGAATATGTTGATTTTTCGTCTAGTGATGAATCTAATCGGTTTTAGTACATTTTCCTATAGCAAACAATACCAGAGCGTACTGAGTTGTCCTCGATTACTTAAAAAAATAAAGACAAAATACATTTTCTTTCTATTACATGACTTGATGCATATACAAAGTTCATTTGCCCGGAATTGCGTGGGAAGCACAAAGTAAGCCTACTGGACGCCGGTTTTTCCTAAATTTTTTAGACTAATTATTTTTTATAGGTATACACTCGCAGTTGAAAACAGACCTAGACTCCGTCATAACATCTTACCGAGCCCACGGCTGGACCTGGATAATGGGCGAGACGATTGCCTCCTTGCTAGCTGAACTGGCTGGGAAGGAAAGCGGTGTCAGTCGCGGGAAAGGCGGTTCCATGCACACGTATGCGCCCAACTTTTACGGGGGCAACGGAATCGTTGGGGCGCATGTGCCCTTGGGCACGGGGTGCGCCTTTGCTCATAAGTACACCGAGAAAGGGGCCCTCAACGTATGTATTAACCTCAAGGAGGGAGGATACCATATCAGCGCTCAGTGACGTATATGATAACAATAATAAACAAATTTATTCACAATCAGCCATTACAGTAACTCATTCAAACACTAAATATGGTTGCAGAAAGGGTTAAAATACAGGCTGACCCATCCGAGGCAAAAATAATGAACATTATGCTGGGATAAGTATAAGCGAAGTTACTTGAGAAAAGAATATAAATGGTTTATAATGAATAGTGAACACAAAAACAGAGAAACAGTGACGGCAAATGTTGCTTCTGCCATATTAACTGTTGAAGGTTTATTATAATGCTAATTAATATATACGTACGTTATTTCATGTTTCAATTTGTAGTAGATACCTTTTGTAGTTGACATTCAATGATTTGGAAGATAGGTTCTTAAAATGGAAGTAGATAGTATTATACTGTACTTATAACTATTAAATGTTTATTATCATTTGTCCATTACAAAATTCGTAAAGCAGCTGGTAATTCAAATGCTTCAGGTCTCTAAACTGGGACCTTTTTTCAAATTATTTTTTAATACAAATGTGAGATTCTAGATCTAAAATATTAAGTCTAGCTACAGACCCAAAAACACTCATTAATTGGAAAATATAGCACAGGTACAATATCCCGAACCTGACTCATTTTACGTTAAAAATAGCTGCAATAGCATGTGACTCATTAGAGGGTATCCGTGAGACTTGATACAAACCCTTTAAAATCTTAACACTTCATCACAATTTGCAGGTCTGTCTGTACGGTGACGGTGCAGCTAATCAAGGTCAAGTGTACGAGGCATGGAATATAGCCAAACTTTGGAATTTGCCAGTCATATACGTCTGCGAAAATAACAAGTATGGTATGGGAACGTCGACGCGCAGAGCTTCAGCTGATGATAATTTTTATAAACGCGTTTCGTATATGCCAGGGATCTGGGTGGATGGCATGGATGTCCTAGCAGTTAGAGAATGCTTTAGGTACGATTTGCTTTCCATTCCTGTAACCACGACCAACCGAAGACAGCGCTGTTTAACGAAATTTAACACCCGCGACTTGGTGAAAATGGCTTAAAAAACTCATATTTATATTTTCAATAGCTGGAATATTATCCACCCAAAAATTGAAAGCATCAAACATTCTTCTCAAGTTCAATTTCTTAGAACATAATGAATATGTATTCGATAACAAAAGTAATAATCATATAGTTACAAAACAAATTAGTTTCAACACTATAACATAAAATTTATGAATTATGTGAAAAAAGCTCAATTATTCCTTATATAATAAATTCATCGATATCAAAAAAACTTTGAAATATTGGGACAATTGGTTACATGGAAATTCCACCACAGTCGCATCCACAACCAAATGGAACAACTAAAATGCTCAAAGAGGTCAACGATCGCAGCTATTGTGAGCCTCAAGTAACCCGCGTATCTTTTAAATAGATCTTAATTTTAATAACCGTCGGGTATCAGATATGCCGGGTTAAATACATAAAAGGTACACCAGGCGCTGAATGAAGAAGAAGAGGTCAAAACATCATAAACCAAAGCATGCCCTTCCAGCTTTTGGTCGATTTAACAACCCCTCCCCTTCTTAAATCATTACAAAAAAGTTTTTTGGTTCCGACAATTTTCTGATTTCATTCTGAAAACGAAAGGTCCTCGGAAACTTTTCTTTGAAATTTTTCAGCTAAAAGCCATTTAATGTCTGAAAAATCCCAAGAATGAACATCTTTAATGACTGAAAACTCAGTTAAAATCGTTTTTTGGGCTTGCCACGTATCTAAATTACAGCTAAAACCTTCCCCTAAAAGATCCCAAAGAGTATTTCAAGGTTATTTTATCTTAAAGCAATTTTAAAGCTGGTTTGTTATGCCAAAATTAGCGACCTCCTGATTTTCGTAGACTGTACATTTTGTGCAGCCGCTGGTTGGAATTGATTTTAGAAAATGGGAGGACCACACTCTCTGAACGAATATCAAATGAGAGTAAAGCAACAGTAACCCAGATCTTGCCTTAAGGATAAAGCAAATATGTGGAGCACATTACGTGCAATGGAGCGATTTTAATGATTATTTTAATTAGTTTAATTATTTTTATGGGGGATAGTAGGTTGTTAAATGAATCATCAAAACAAAAATTGTTTTTAATCATTGTAGATGAGCACTTCAAGGGTTTTCATACATTAATTGGCCTATAGCTCGGAAACGGAAACTTTTACAGGAAATTTAGCGAGAACCTTTCTTGTTCAGAATGATCCGAGAAATCAGAAAAAAATTGTTTATTTTGTAACGATTTTGATAGGAGCTGATTAAAAAATTGACAAAAATGTGGCCCAGCAAGATCCGGATTATTGCAGCACCTGGTCTTAGTAGCAAATTATCATCAATTTATGAGAAGGATCTGGCAGCGATGGTAATTTCTCAGACGATATCGACATCACGCTTGTGTTCTTTATGACACCAAACAATAGTAGATTGTTTACATCCATTCCTTTATTCTCTACCGAAAGACCCAGCCAGTTAGAATTAAACTTTTATTCCTAATACCGATAGTTGACCAAACGAATCCTCTTAAACTGTCAACCACAGAGAATAATGTTTAGTAGTAGGATAGAACGTAGTAGAACTTATTACGTCAGGCTAAATATTGGTATTGTATTAAAGTAGTACCTCTTGAGGATACCCCATTTTCGATGTTTCTTGAACTGGCATAGGGTGTTTAAAAATGCAAAATATTTATTTTCTGTCAAGCAATTTGCAGATTGTGAATCGTTTGTGTCCATTCACACTTTTGTTTTACGTTTTGAAATATACATGTAAAGTTTTGAAAAACAATCAAGAATCATCTAGACTCTGAGAGGACCTTAAGAAAAAGGCTTCTCAGCCCATCAACGTTTAGCAAGTATAGTCAAAAATCTAAATAAGTAGACTTCTGCTTTCAAAAAATTTATCATTAGAACAGCTTGTAATTTTCAGGTTCGCCACCAAATATGTCAGGGAAGGCAAAGGCCCCATAGTGGTGGAAACATCAACATACAGATACTTCGGGCATTCCATGTCAGACCCGGGAACCAGCTACAGATCCAGAGAGGAGATACAAGAGACAAGACAAACAAAAGATCCTATAAACAAGTTTAAGGATAAGATCGTGTCTGCCAATTTGGTTACGGAGGATGAACTCAAGGCGATAGATGCGAAACTGAAGCAAGAGGTCGATGAAGCAATGAATAAAGCGAAAAGTGATAAAGAACCGGCAGTAGATGCGCTTACGACAGATGTATATTCTCAGTACCCATGGGCGTTAAGAGGTGTGGGAGCCAGTTTGCCGTCACTCCCTCATAAAAGAGTGGGCAAGGCGATCAACCTCAAATAAAATTTATTGTTAAACTACCGGTTGTTTTATTGCAATTTGTTAGATACTTCTTACAGCGAGCATGAAACTTGAATCGAAACATTGCCGTTGCGCATGACGTCACTCGGTGACAAATGCTCCGCTTCTCGGTAGGAAATGCATTGTATTAGAGCGTGTTATTTTTAGTAGTGTTTGGAATATTTGTGCAACATTTTTTGTGTTATTGATTTTACATGATCATTTTAATATTATATAGAATGTCTTAATTATATTTTAAAGTTTCTACCAATAGAATTTAATGAATTATATCAGTATATATCTCCATAAAATCACCATTTTTACTAAAAGACGATTAAGGTTTCGTCTAAGATTTAATCGTTGAAAATCCACCTGTAGCTTTTCAAACTAAAATCTCTTCAGAGTTCCAAATAAAACGACTTGTCCTTTTTTGTGCAGCAATAGTATATACTAAATTGTTACATTAACTTTTTATTCAGAAAAATAATAGAGAACAAGATGGTGTATACAGGGTGTAAACGTTATGGCAGTCATTATGGAAATGGGTAATAGGGGGGGTTAAAACAGTTCAAAAAGTTCATATGACCCATGGTCCAACAGTCAATAGATTTTTGTATAAATGGCTTTATAGTTTACAACTTTAAGTGCTTTATATCGACCACAATCACCACAATCTTACTAGTTTCTATAACCCAATCTAAAACGTTTTTAAATTGGGTAATTAACAAATAAATGGCATTAAGTTTTTCTAAGTTAAGCCAAAATTTGTAGTCAGTAAGTAAGTTTCATTAAATTGAACACATGACAACAACACGTCGGTCATCATCACTGTTATCAAACCGGCAATCGATCGCAAACGGTAACAGTGGTTAGTATGTTGTTTTGCTTTTGTTCGTGTATGTCGTCGCGAAAAAATTTTTAATGCCGCTGAAATAATAAATGGACAACTCCGAGGACCTAGAGTAAGGAGAAACTGGGTTCGTCGTAATGAAGCTTGTGTGGAAAGTGGAGGACGACATTTTGAACACCTTCTTTAAATACAAAAAAAGTGCAGTGTGGGTTTTAAAAAGAAAAACAATGTATCAAAATTGTGTTTCCTATTTATAAGTGGATTTTTCTAATACGTTCAATAAACTTTCACACACCAGATGAAGCGCCGAGATAGTTAGTCGTAAGTCCGTTTTTTTTAATTGTTTGCATTTTACCAGTATGTTATCAAATGATGAAATAATACCTAAGAGCCAAGAATAACAGACTCCATTTTTATTTACACTGCGTTCCGTCGTAATTTGCGTCTGGCATTGCGGCCTTGTCAGATTTTATTTTACTTTAAAGTCGCTTTTCTCTTAAAAGTTTTGCTTCTTCTAACCGCCTCTATCACCCATTTAAATAATGACTATCGTAACGTTTACACCCTGTATACTCGTATGACATTTTTGTGTCAAGTACTCATGTAAATTTGTGTCTACATGTTTTTTTCATCTTTTTTTATGGGCAGGTATCAATAAAAATTGTTTGTATTGGTGAACGCTTTTTTCGAACTGATTTTATGATTTTCGCCATAATTTTGTCATTCGTATTTGCAGTTTTTACATATTTGTTGCTAATGAAACTTTAGAACCCATTGTTTGCTATCTTGTTTGTTCTTTGGAAAACTGTAGAAACGCAAATTCAAAACGAGTAGTAGTACACCATACTTAAATGCTTAATTCACTCTTTTTATTTATATTTCACACACCGGATAACAAAATGATGAAACTAATCTCAAATTACCTGCTAAAGCGCCATATAAAACTAAACGTTTGACAGCCGTCTCTGATGAATTTTGTCACCGAGTGGCGTCACGAATGCCAAAGAGAGACTGGTCGCATATGCGTGAATTTATCTTCTCGAGTAATAGTATCATGTGTACAAACCGACCAATTTTATATCTATTAAATTCAATCTTGCTTCCCCGGCTATTCAAAGCTTAAATTCTGGGAGGGATAAAAATGCTCGGCTGATTTTATCATGTGTTATGTAGGATGCATAGTTTCAGCCACGCGCTCATAAACTAGTAGATAAAAAATATTTCCATAGATTGCTTCAGAGAGCTCGACCACTAATAAAATTTGACCATATGACCTCCGTATCAAGTCATTTCCTATGTTCTAGCAATTTACAAAATCGCATCGACGATTTTTACTAGGCCGCTATCAGACCGATATATGCGATTCAGAATGTTTTATAATGGCTAGGGCAAGTTCCATTCATAGTGTGTTCCTGCTTGACCAAATACTCACCTATTAGATAATAGTTGTAGCTAGCTATACAGTCCTGTGCAGCGCCTCAGATAACAGTTCTCTTAAAAGTAGACATACAGGTATGACCGTATCTGGTTAAAATATTTCAAAACAGACACCTTAGCATATTACTCAAGCCAGGAGTAAGAAAGTGGAAATGTTTCAGAAATTATGTAATGGCCATTTTTTATGGGTGTTCGATTACCGTTTTCTGCGATTTGCACAGAGAAATTTACATTGGCTATGTGAAAGATCATTCTGGAACTATTCTAGATTCAAGCATTTCACAGCGTGGTTAATTATACAAGGTGAAGGTAACACTATTAGCAGAGTACATGCACTAAAAGTAAAATGAAAGCATTGATGTTTAGAATTTGAGTTTTTTGTATAAAATGACAATGGACTGAGACTGGGCGAGTATTATTATAAGCTGTGATCCACAAGTCATATAATTAACTTTTACCTCTCACGTCTACTGGCGAGGGAATATTGTACAGAATGTTTTGCTGGCGTGACATATTTAATTTTTTTGTTATACTTGTTTGTAGTTAGATCGAAGGAACTTGGGCCGAACATAATCCTTTATGAACTGATTGCGTGGGAAGAGTTAACCTACTTGATGCTATTTTTCATTTGTAATAACATTACAGGAGGCGATCGATATTTTATCTATTCTACCACCTAAAACCTAACAATACAAGATGCATAAAAACAAGATATGTTATTGGTAAAAATTAATATCTTTATACAATAATGGCAATAATAAATCATAATATAAAGACATAAGAACATGTAGTTATAAAAGATTCCGCCTCTGATTAAGTAGAGTTTCTTTTTTTTAATCAAGAGTAATTAAATAGTTCCTTTTAAACTATGATCTGATGAATTATATAATGTCTTTGCATTGTAAATATAATGTTCTGAAAAATAGAGGTGCTGCTCTAATATTAATGTTATGAATTTGTTTGCTAAATATGACGGTATTTTTGAATGAAGAGCCTTGTAAGTCAGACCTAGGAGCTGTTATCAATTTTGATCCAGTTAAGACCACAAATGAGTTTTGATATTTGACCATATTTTCTATGATGATTAACGAGTCTGCAACATACATTTATTATACTTGAAGATGATCTTTTGTTACAATATCTAAATATAAGCAATATGATATTTTTTAAATAAGAAATATTCAATTTAAATGTATGATGTAATATAGCTTAATTCACAAACAAAATTCTGACAATAGGGTAGCACTGAAAAATTAAGATAGTTTGCGCGTTCAACTAATTTCAAATCATCGTTTGTTATAATATCTAAGTTCTTAGAATGTTCCGCATGAACTATTTTATCACCTTTCGAATATTATATGTAACGTATATAAATAGTGTGAAAATTCTGTCAAGTGAAAACAAAAACTTGAATGAACTTCCGGATACATTGTCGAAAAGGTGATCCTATCAACATCCAGCAGCAAAAAATGAGCCGTTCCAGACATGCGATGTTGATATGAATTCCTCTACATGGAACAGCCTGAGGGAACGGATCCGAAAATATAAGCCCACCGTTAAGCAAAAAATGATCTCAGAAACTACGTTCCTATATATGTCTTTTTCTGCATAAGATATTCTGGAGAGTCAAGCGCATTAGTTCATGATCATGATCTTCCTCTACCTTCTTATTTTGCTACTCAACTTTGTTAGCTAAGTTAGTGTCGTTTAGTAGACATAAAGTATAGACAAGGCGATTAAAAACTATAATCACAGTGTAGGCAATTAAGATCAACATTAAAATAAAACATTAAACTGCCTAGCAATTATCTTTTAATACCATTTTATTTATAGTAGCAGGATATCTATAGACAAATATAAACTACCTGAAAATAAATGTTTCGTCCAGCAAAATGCAACAACAGATTGTTGATGGATGACAAGATAAACATGAATTTGTTATTTACAACTTTCGTCATTCTCTTTTACTATTACAATTTGGAAGATATTGGACATAGGTCAGTAGAAGTGAAAAAGTGCGTTGAACCCATGACTTGAACGCTATAGCACACTGTTCAAATTACTGTAGATATTTAAGGCAGACCAACATACTAACAGAACGACAGGGAATGGACAATATACTAAGGATGCAATCGATCGAGATACCTTCAATGTGTGCTAATTATGGGCTACATTGAGGTACGGTGGCAAACTGATTTATTTTAAAGAATGAATAATCAACGAATTTTCAAAAAACTCCATATTCAATGTCAAGTTCTATTGAATGCATGGCCACTGATGTGGAACAAGCAAATTCGCAGAGTAAACCGAGTGCGGTTTTGCAGTTAGCGAAAATGTCGATGTTTTCACAAAATCATGTAAATATATGACTAGATATGAACTTTGTTCTTGTTGATTTAGTGTAATTGCCGTAAAAGTCAATTCTATAACACGCTATATAGTTTAACCACTAGTTGTACCCTAACTGGTAATTGCTATATTTACCATTTCTACGTCTAAGTAAATTCAATTTTGATCCCCTTGAAAGTTCTGATGTAAAGTGAGTGACACTAAGCTATATTCATAAGTATAAAGTTACAACGATACTTCTGTAAAAGTTGTCATTATTATCTGGGGATGACATGTCAGAGGTTTTTATATACGACCGACCGATAAAATGTACCTTATGAATAGTTTTTCCGCGCATTAAGTTTCACTTTCCAGTCTACGGACTCCTTTAGGCCCTAGGACGGT